TTAAACAGAAAAATTAAAGAACTCCTAAACAGTAGTAAGAAAAAGACAAACAGGGGCGCCTGGGTGGCTCAGTTGGTTAAGCGGCAGGTCATGATCTCAGGACCCTGGGATCCAGCTCCGCATCTGATCTCTGCTCAGCGGGGAGTCTGCTTCTCCGTCTCCCTCTGTGCTGCCTCTCCCTCTCTCACTATCAAATAAAATCTTTAAAAAAAAATGAAAGAAAAAGACAACCTAATAGAAAAAATGGAAAAGTAGAAAAAAAAAAAGAAAATACATTTTTAAACCGTGATAAGATTCTATTTAACACTCACTGAATTGGCAAAACTTGAAAAGCCTTGGCCAAGATGTATGTCATTGGGAACTTTTATACATCACATGTAAGAGTATTAATTGGTACAATCACTTCATATAATGATTTGACATTTTCTTGAAAAATCAAAGATGGGGGCGCCTGGGTGGCTCAGTCGTTAAACATCTGCCTTCGGCTCAGGTCATGATCCCAGGGTCCTGGGATCGAGCCCTGCATTGGGCTCCCTGCTCCGCGGGAAGCCTGCTTCTCCCTCTCCCGCTCCCCCTGCTTGTGTTCCTGCTCTCGCTCTCTCTGTCAAATAAATAAATGAAATCTTTAAAAAAAATCAAAGATGCACATACTGAATACCCAGCAATTTTACTCAGTATGTATACTAGAGAAATTTCTGTATTTTTGTACTAGCAGATACGTTTATGAATATTCATAGTAGCATTTATCAAAAATACAATTTATTGAGATAAAATTTACATATAATAAAATACTCTCATTTTAAGTATATAGTTCAAAGTTTGACAAATGTTTACACAAATGTAACTAAATAACTACAATCAAGATATAAAATTTTCCAACACCCCCAAAGGTCCCTCTTTCTCTTCTGTATAAGGACCCTTCTCCCACTATCAATATACTTTTCTGGGGCACCTGGGTGGCTCAGTCGTTAAGCATCTGCCTTCGGCTCAGGTCATGACCCCAGGGTCCTGGGATCGAGCCCCGCATCGGGCTCCCTGCTCGGCGGGAAGCCTGCTTCTTCCTCTCCCACTCCCCCTGCTTGTGTTCCCCCTCTCGCTGTGTCTCTCTCTGTCAAATAAATAAAATCTTTAAAAATATATATATACTTTTCTATTTTCTAGGATTTCATATAAATGGAATAATGAACTATGTAATCATTTGTATCTGGCTTCTTTCCCTTGACATAATGCACTTGAGGTTCATTTTGTACATGTTGTTTGGATCAGTATTTTCTTGCTTTTTGTAGCTGAGTAGTATTCTGTTATATAGATATGTCAGGAATTGCTTTAATATTCACTAGTTTTGGGCTTTTGGATTGTTTCCAGTTCTTGGCTATTACAAATAAAAAAGCTGCCATGAAAATACATGTACAGGTATTTCGATTTTTCTTGTGTAAATTCCTAGGAGTAGAATTATTGGGTTATGGGTGCCTGGGTGGCTCAGTTTGTTAAGCGACTGCCTTCGGCTCAGGTCATGATCCTGGAGTCCCTGGATCGAGTCCCGCATCGAGCCCGCTTCTCCCTCTGACCCTCCCCCCTCTCATGTGCTCTCTGTCTCTCTCATTCTCTCTATGTCAAATAAATAAATAAAATCTTAAAAAAAAAAAAGAATTATTGGGTTATATACTAAGTGTATATTTAACACATAAGAAATATAAATCTGTTTCCCAAAGTGGTTGCACTATTTTACGTTCCCACCAGCAATGTATGAGGGCTATGGTTCATAGCAGCATTATTCATAACAGCAAAAATAGAAACAACCCAAATGTTTACTGTCAGAAGAATGAATAAATTGTGGTTTATTCATTCAAAAGAATACCACAGACAATTAAATTAACCATAGCTATATGCAGCAACATGACTAAAACATATTAAAAAAGGCTAGTCATAGATGAATACATAAAGTATATTACCTGTATATATATACATGTCTAAAGTATGCTAAATGAAACAATGTTATTTAGAAATATATACATTTTGGAAAGACTTTAAGATAAAGCAAAGGAGTGATAAACACAAAATTCATGATGGTGGTTAACCTCTGGGAAAGGGTATGTAGGGATGGGAAGGGATAAGGTGCTTGCAGATATTGGTAATATTGGTAATATTGGTATCATTAATTTGCACAATAGATACATGGTGTTTATCTTTATTATTCTTTAACTGGCACCAACATTTTACATATGCTTATATATGATAAAGTTTTATAACAGAAGTTAAAAAAGAAAATAAAGATAGTTGATGTTTCTTTAGTCTTACTCTCTGGTTTTCTTAAAAAAAAAAAAAGATTGACTTGAGCATTTGTCCTATACTGTAATATATTTTCCTAATTCTATTTAGTATTCTATATACTTATGTTGAGAGATTGCAGTTATAGTACAGGAATAATTCTGGAATGCATTTCTATCTGTGGGAGTAAGAATTTAGATGTCTGACTCTCAACAATATTAATAGCAGTAATTAAATTCACATATCCTTGTTTATGGAGATGAGAATATAGCTCACCTGATAACAAAAATGATTGAATAGAATTCATTATTTCTTAAAATTATACCAGGGAAGGATATATCTTCTATTTATTTCCTTTCCAATTGAATTATTTAAAACTAAGGTTTAAAAACCATCATAAAATGACCCAACAGTCAAATATAAAGGATATATCATTAATTCTAGAAAGCCTAGATGGTCACTTATTGGATAAGAGGACTGTAATATAGACAGTAAAAATTTCCCTCTATTTCCCAATCTTGGTTGTATCATAGGATTACAGGTTCAAGAAATGGAAAATTTTGTAAGATCAAAAATGCCAGTGAGTAAAATGGAAACATGGCAAGAAATGTTTTTGTGTGTTTTGGTAGTATAAAAAAACCATAGGTTATAGAGTTCCATCAGATGGTAAATTTCTATGTCCTTCCTGAGACTTTATTACCAAAGACAGTTGTTTTAAAAATTAGTTATAATTTGATCATAACTTCATCTATAAATATATTAAGACATAAAATTGTGGGTTTGAGTAAAATACCATCTTCTCCCCAAAAAAACCTTTATAGCAACTCAAGTATGAAATGTGTTTATCGCTGGAAATCACATGTGAATTATTACAGAAACAACTTCAAATGTAGAGGGCTGGTAATAAGCCTCTAATTTTATTAAATAAAAATATAATCATCAGCAATGAGACACTTATGGAATTACTATTAAAGTACAAATTCCACACATAAAAAATTCTTTAATATCAATCAATTGCCTGGTTTTCTCTTAAGATTGAACTAAGTTCTATGACTAAGAGTAATCGTAAGAACTCAAGTGATTCTTTCATTGTGCTCCACATTATTTAGAAAAATTACAAAACTTATTTTGCCCTATATGATTACACAAGAAATGGTAAAGAAAGCCACATAAAGGTACAATTGAGCATGTAAGTTATTTTCTCATACTAGCAAATGATTGTCAGACTAGGGACACCTGAGAGAAAGGTTACCTATTCCTTAAATGATATTACTGCTAAATAGGGATTCTTGATTTTTATAGAGTGAGCTTTAATTACTTGTATGAATTGAACCACAGATAATCCTACCCTAAATGAAGGGTATGGGATTTGAATTATTAATTTTCACTTGGGAATGTCAGTTCAAATATTTTTAAAAAGATTTATTTATTTATTTGACAGAGAGAGAGCATGAGCATGAGTGGGGGGAGGGGCAGAAGGAGGGAATCTTCAAGCAGACTCTGCACTGAGTGTGGAACCCAACGCAGGGCTCGATCCCCCCACCTGAGCAGAAACCACGAGTCAGTCACTTAACTGACTGAGCCACCCAGGCATCCCTACAGGTTTGAATTTTAAATAATATACATTTGTACACATTTCAAAAGTGTTCTCATATGTACTATACCACTTGATGTTACTATAACCGTATGAGGTTAGCAGGATCTAGAGTTACTATTTCTATTTTGCTGATGAGAAAACAAGACTTACAGAGATAAAGTAAATTGTCCAAGTATCTTGCCTGATGACAGATATAGCACTAGAGTCCTTATCTTTTATTTTGAATGTAGTGTTCTTATCTTTTATTTTGAATGTAGTTTTTTATTTTGTAGTTTTATTTTGTAGTTCCTTATCTTTTATTTTGAATGTAGTGTTCTTATCTTTTATTTTGAATGTAGTGTCCTTCCTTTTGTATCATCATTTCTATACCTGATGTTTGTCTTCAGACAAAAGTAAAAATTATGATGTCATCCAGTTAAATTTCATCTTTGGATGAAAGGTAGATTGAATGATGGCTACCAAAGATATCCTGTGCTAAAGCCTGGAACTTGTACATGTTACCTTACAAGGAAAAAAGGTCTCTACAGGTGTGGTTAACTTCAGGATCTTGAGATGGGGAAATACTTCTGCATTACCCAGGTGGAACCTAAATCCAATCACAAGTGTCCTATATAAGATGGTTATAAGAGAGAGGCAGAGAGAGATGACACAGACAGAAGAGTAGAAGACAGAGACACAGAGGAGAAGGCAATGTAACCAGAAAGTCAGAGATTGGAGTGATGTGGCCACAAGCCAAGGAATACCAACAGCCAGCAAAAGTTGGAAGAGGGGCAAGGAACAGAGTCTTCTCGAGCCTTCCAAGGGATGGTGGTCATGCAAACATCTAGATTTCAGACCAGCTAAATTAGTGTTGAACTTTGGCCTCTAGAGCTTTCTCAGGAGAGAATGGTTAAAATGTTAGGGTTTCCAAGAACATCTTTAGTTATCTTCTCCGAAAATTAATAGGGAATGTTTATAAATCTTTAAAAGAAATATTTAAATGAAGTAGATGTTGTTAATTCATATAAAAACAATCTTGTCACTGACAAACTGAAATGTACTGTATCCACCTAAGAAAAACTGAGAGCTTATTGTGTATTTATTGGAATGACAAAACCTCAGAATATAATAGTAAATAATTTTTTTTCCTTTATAGGAAATATATTGGAGCTATCATGTCTGGAAGTGTGTTTGCAACCTAATTTCAACTATTCACTCCGCTCTTTAAATTTTTCTTTTGTGACTTTTCTGAAACCAGTAAGAGAAACTCAGACTATTATGGGCATCTTTCTAAATCACTCCAACTTTCAAAACGTCACCAGGATTTGCCAAGGCATCACAAGTGAATTGAAAATGTGCTCCTCATGTTTAGCTTGTGAGTCCAAAAAAAGTCTGGATTTTATTTCTCAGGAACAAACATCAAAAGGTAAATGTAAAGTGATAATAAAGTTTATCAAGAATAAACTACCTTAGTCTGTTAAAAAAGTAATAATATATTCCAATTTAAAATCCAATGGTATCAAAACCCTCAGCAAGTGTGGCTTTTGATGAGTGATTTGTAGGGCTTTGGGATACTGCTTATTCTTGGTTTACTTTATCAAAAACAAAATATCTACTTTTAAAATACATCATATGCCACCATAATTTATGTACATTTGATGGTTAAAAGAATATTTAGCATGCTCTCTTCAAAGGTATTGAATTTTTAAAAATTAAAAGAGTAAAATCAAATTTGGATTTTCTAAGAAATCATTAAATCTTTGACACATTTGTACCTTCTCCTGCCTAACATGTATCCACTGTATTTGAATTGCCTTTTTACTTGTCTAAATGTCTGCTCAATGTTGGGGACTTTGTCTTTGTTCACCATATTTCTAGATCCTTACATAATGCCTGACATCAGGTGCTCAATATATATTTCTTTAATGAATAAACAAATGAAAGAATAACTATGTATTATGTGTAATGTGTAACTGAATCCTGCATCTATTTTGAGATCAATATATATTATTTAATTAAATCAAATCAACTTGCATGATTGAGAAATTAAATAACTCATTTGTAGTCAGAAAATATACTAGTGGCCTCAGGCCCAAGCATCAAATTTATTATTTATACCTATTTGGTGAGATTGCTTCCTGTATCGCTCCATATTGGCGTCTTTCCCCATTCTTTCAGAATGGGAATGAGATTTCTTGGCATTGACTTTGGATGAAGTATAAAACCTATCTTTTTCTGGGTTCTTACTCAAGTAGTGCTATAGTTGTTGCAGGGTTCTGGGTCAAATTCACCAGAAAGCAAGTTGGGGAAATACCTTTATGGTGATAGAGACCGAGGAAGTGTTTTAAGGCTTGGTAACTCCAGATGCTATTTCTCTGCCTCCTGGAAATGTAGGACAGTGCTTTGATAAGTTATGTCTGTGTAACATACTACCTTGAAACTCAATGGCTTAAAACAATGGCAATCATTTTATTCTTTTTCTTCCTTCCTTGTGTTCTTTCTTCCCCCCCACCCTGCTCCTCCTCTTCCTCCTCCTCCTTCTCCTTCTCCTTCTTCCTCTCTGGTTGGCTAGGACTTCAGAATGGGCATAATGGGGGCATTTCTGGCTTGGAGCATTATAACCTGTCGCACAAATGTCTATATTTCTTTGAGATTCTATTTCAACCCTACTATTATCTGGTTTCACAATCTTAAAAAAATGTAAGCACTTTAATCATTATTTTTAGTGCAGTGAACTTCTTATTTTGACTTTTTTTTTGTAGAGGAAGGATGGTATTTAGTTTTGAGTGGTGTGTGTTTTCTTACTATGTATTACTATTTTGCAAATAACATTTTCTTAATCTCTTTCTAGTTCTTATCATGAAAGGATCAATGGAAGTGAAGGCAAATGATTTTCGTTCACCTTGTCAACATTTTAACTTCACTGTAGCTCCTATAGCTGATCCCTTGGAAGAATATAACATTACTTGTAATCTAAAAACCCACATGAGAAGGCCAGCCATCACGGAGGAAGATTCACCCAAGGAAAAGTCTATGAACCATACTTGTAGGACTATGGAATACCTGAATAATTGTACACATATCTCCTTGCACCTAGAAATGGATGTCAAAAGTAAGTATTTAAGGAAGTTAGAGGAAAAAGAGAATTGGATACAAAGTTAAATAAAGGCTAACACATTAACTTCATTAAAAGTTAAATATTTGAAAAATTTTGTTGTTGCAATAATATGACTGGAAAGAATGCTAGTTCTTTTATCTGTTCATTCCTGAGGCCTAGCTGGACTCAGAAGCAGAGGAGGCATCTGTGGGTTGTGATTTGAGGGACACTAGAAAGACCTCAGAGTAACTTCGGACATGCCTGTTAGCTGTGCTTGAAGCAATGCTACCACACCTGGGTATTAAAGGGTGAAATTTATTTTTAAATATAATATCCATCATTGTGATGGGCTATTAAAATCATATTTTGAATTGACTTGTATCTTCTCCTAGAGTCGAGAACCAGGACTGAATACAATGGGATTTTTGATATAAAGCCATGGAGATAGGCAGGGTGCAGAGGAGGCACTTTGGGTCACAGGGTAGCTCTGAGGGAACCGTAGGCATCCAAAGGATCAAAATCACATCCATCTTACTTCTAAAGCTTATTAGCTTCCGTGACACCCTCTTCGGAATTACCACAATTGATCCTTTCTACTAAGCGGTGTGCCCCACTTTACCTAGAAAGTCTATTTTGGAAGAGTATTTTATGATATAACCACTTAATACGTGCTACTGTATGCCAACCAATGTGCTAGCATTAGGGACCCAAAAATAGATGAATGTGAAACAATCGAGCATGTGCATCTGGTGTAACAGGTGCAAGGGTAGAGTCAGTTGCTGGGCTTTGTGATCTTCCAGACACATGGAAACCTTTCTTGTTGCCTTAGAATTTTTTTTTTAAGCTTTACTTTTTTTAGAGGTAATTATTTAAACAATATTATAATTTCAAGCAAATACGACCAAATAATATGTATGCATTTTTACAGTAAAATAGAAGGCTTCAAAGGAATTTCTCTTGTGAGTCAGTCTTCAAGGCCCCACGGTCTCTGCAATTAAGGGTTATTTCAAGGTGTGCGTGTGTGTGTCGGGTATGGGAGAGGATCTGAGGAGATCTGAACAGAGAGGTCAATTCCCTCGGGCTCAGGAGTGAGCTGGAAGGTAGACTTTGGAAGGATGGCATAGAGAAGGTGACAGTGATGAAGTCTGGAAGATAAAGTGGGTTGGATTATAAATATTAAGATCATATTTATTTCCATGCATCCATCTAAGTGCTTTTTATGCTTTTTAAAACATAAAGGAAAAAGAAGCATTTCCATAACTATGATTTTCAGAGAATTTTTTGTGTCATGAAAAAAAATCCATACATGCTAGTCAAAGTGAAATAGTAGTTAAAACTTCCTTGGGCCCATAATTCAGAAAGATCACTGTGACACACAAATATATAGTCTTGTATTCTAGAAAAATTATATCCATTTGCCACGTATAGAAGTTTTAAAATTTCTTTATATTTTACTCTGCTGGGCAGAGACTAATTTGATCTCCCTTAAAAGCCCTATCCACCAGGGGATGAAAGTAAATTTAGTCCAATCTGGTAAATTTACTCTGGAACAGTAATTTAAATTGTCTCTTCAGATTTTTTTTTTCAGATTCCTGTCTGTTCTCCCTTGCTCCTCTCCAAGATGACTGCCGGGATGGGGGGTAGGTGGGCAGCATGGGCTGTGGGGACACACACTCTTCTGCATTTGCACTGGTGCTTGGGTGGGTGTTCTGGCTGCCCTGACCCCAGCTGTGCACATTCTGCTATTGCTATATGAAGTTGGTGAGTGCCTGGTTCTCTTTTCATAGCTTGATCATCAGTGCCCTATGACACCTTGGTCATTGGGCCCACTGTGGCTCTTGCTGGCACTCTAAGTCTTCTATTCCAGTTAACGAACTGCATACTTTTAATTTGCTGAGGCGAGGAATGCAAGTTTGCAGCTGAATAGCATGGGATGATTTTGGGAAGGCTGAGTGCTGCCATCCCAGTCAACTTTTACCTTTTCTGCATTCTGCCTCTTTTCTAAGTAAATGTTGGATGGCTATATAATGTACATCTGCACATGGGGGTGGGTCCCTGTGAAAGGGGTACCCAGATGATGCACCTCACAAGGGCAATAATCCAAGGGTATAAGCAAGTTATATATCTTGCTAACTTTGAGAAAGTGCTATGTCTTGTGTACAAGGAAGAGGGTACACAGGGTGGCTTGGGAAGACAGTAGACAGTTATGTCTTGGACAAGATGAGGTCACCTTCCGTTATGTCACTGATTCCTAGGTCTACTGGCCACTGTATCTTTATGGGAGCAAAGGAGATGGTGCTAAACTATTGCTGGATGGGGACTATCCTTCCCATGTGCCTCACTGTTATTTGAATGAACAAGTTTTTACCTAAGGTTACTGTATGTTTAATTAATGTGTGCACCTGATCTGATCCTTGCAGTGAAAGTCTGTGCAGAAAGGGGTTCTGATTATTCATCTGCATTGGCCTTTTATATGCCTCAGTCCAACCTTTTCTCTTTGTATGTCTTTTTTTCTTTCCTCTCCATCTTCCTTACACTCACTATCTCTTTGTCCATATGAGGGCATAATTTTTGACTGTGTGGCCCAGGGCCACCGTTGTTATTTACAAATGGCCCTGATTTTGGGACTCAGCTTGTTGTAATCTTAGCTAAGTGATAGCAACCACAAGGAAACTAACACCTACATGACCTGTAAGTGAAATTAATCCTAGAATCTTGGGATCAAAGGGATCCCTGGAAGCTCCCTGGTCAAATTTCTTCATTTAATACACTCACTTAACATATCAGGGAAGAAATCAGGAGGGCAAACGACCCTATAACAGGGATGATTATATACGGAGCTTTTCAGTTAAGGCCAAAATATGTAGTAGAACACAACCACATCACCATATGGCCTCTCTCTGTTGCATCATTTTATTGTATTTTTATAGTATTTTTTTCTTTGCAGATTTCACTTGTTCCATGAAGATCACTTGGTATGTTTTAGTTCTGGTCATTTTTATATTTTTTCTCGCCCTCACTCTCCACAAAATACTTGAAAGCCACAGAAGAATGTGGAAATGGCAGAGTAAGTATTGAGGAATAAATCCATTGCTTGGGACAATCCAGTTAGGATCTTCTCTATAGATGTACATTCTTTTTAAAGTTCAATTTATCATTTATTGAGCCCCTACTGTGTGTAAGTGGCAGTTCTAGGTAACCTGGGGAATATAAATATAAGTGAAACACAGTGTTAGCATTCAAGGAGGTTCATGTGTTTTTGTCTACTTGGACAAGTGAGTAGCAGGGGAGGCTGGGCAAGGAGCTGAAGGCGGCTGGAGGTTGAACAGAGGTTTAGTGCAAGTGAAGGGAGAAAGGTAGAAGAATAGGATGGTGATCCAGAATTTCAGAGTGGGAGATCATGAACAGAGTGGCTCTAAGTGATGAGTGGGAGTAGAGGTCAATCTTTAATAGGTGTAAGGGTGTCAGTAGATTTTTGGCAGGGCAGAGCTATAATGTATAATTGGAAATCAGGCAATGGGGGTGATATTAAAAATATTTAGTATGACCCAGGCGTCCACCTATCAGGATGGACATTGACTTATGGTCCTAGTGGTGTGTACCCACGCATACACCAACCCTTCTGATGTGTAACCCACGCATGTACTGGCTGAATATCAAACCTGAGGGGGGAGGGTAGAGGGCGAGGGAGAGAGAGAATCTTGAGCAGGCTCCATGCCCAACACAGAGCCCCACACGGGGCTCCATCTCATGACCCTGAGATCATGACCTGAGCCAAAATCAAGAGTCGGACGCTTAACCGACTAAGCCACACAAACGCCCCTGTTGCAGGTATTTCTAAGAGCAGTTTCATATTAGGTCTTGCCATTGATACCTTAGTATATAAGGCTAATATATAATAACATCATCAATATTATGTATTTGTAGAATAGCCATTTTCAGAGCATTTTCACAGGTCTTTTTTTTAAATTAGATTCTCCAAGTACTTAAACAGAGTGTGTACTATTATTTTCACTCATAGATGGAAAAAACCCCTGAGCTGTAGAGAGATTAAGTGGTTTTTCCAAAGTTATACAGCTAACAAAAGGTCGGAGTCAAGACCTAGGGTCTTTCTAGTTTTAAAAATTATATCAGTTTAAATAAAAATGTTATTTGCAAATATTGCACATTTTTGAGTTTCTTCATCCACTTTTCCATATAACTGCATATGAGGAAAGAGAGACAGAAGCCAGTTAGAAAAAACCATCTAGAAAGCAACAGTGGAGAGTGAACATTTTATGAACATCCACCCAAATGACAGGCTTAGTGGCTTTTGAAGGCTTGCCTTACAAATCCAAGCGTGTAAAGTAATGAAACATGTCACACCATTTAGGACATTAAATATTATTAAATATTAAATATACATTAAATATTCTGTATATGTCTATGTATATTCATGTAAGCAATATAATATTCTATACATAAGAGCTGGTGCTTTTCATTAGAGGAGACGGCATGAAAACATTTAGGGTAGTGGAGAAACCACTTGTTTTAGAAAGATCCTGTGTTTGTTCATGGAAAATAACTTAGAGGAAAGCCCTTAATGTCTTGTTACTCCTGGCCCTGTTGTAGATGGCCCATTTTCCTTGGTAATCCTTTGAATCAACATGGGGAATATATATTAAGAATGTGCTTGTTTATCATTTAAATATTTAATTTCTTTTCTTGGAATAGGTCATAAATACAAACCTACCTCTGACCTCTTAAGAGGACAGGATTCCGAGAAACTGCGAACATTGAACGTGCAGGTTATTTCAGGTGAGTTTTGGGACGTGCCAACAGAGCACGGCTTTGAGAATCCCAGTCCCTCACCGTTTCACTATAGACCCAAGATCAAATGATCTGAGCTCATTTAAATTAGCCTTGTATCTGGAAGAAAGGAGCTGTGGGCAAATGAAATCTAGTTTAATATGTCTTATTATCAGGGGACAGTTACGATCAAAAGTAGCTCCTTAAATAATGGAAAGTTTGCCTGATTGGCAAGAAGAAATTCATGTGAGTAGGCAGAGGAGAGAAAGCAATAAGGAAGAAGCCTCAGATTTATTTTTAAATGAGACAAGATACCATTATTCCTCAGAATTGCAAGAAGTAATTGCAGAGTGGGCATGGCTTTTTTGCTGGAGCTTTCACTTAGGAAAGGGTGTCATTGTGTAAAAAGAACTTCTAATAGCCCCAATTAAAAAGTCCCCCGTCCTCTCCCGAGAAACACAAATGGAAGAAGGGAACCCTAATTAGAGCAGCTAAGAGAGCTGTTGGCACAGACGCTGTGGTTCGATCTCCTAATTGCAAAGCCTCCTTCTGAATTCAAGCTGTCAAGTCATATTAAAAAGGAAGAGAGGGAGATTGGGACGCGGGCAAAGTGCTCTTCTTCATCAGGAAGATGTCATCTCCTGGACTCCGTGCAAACCGCGGCCTGAGGAGTGATGTTTCTACAGCTCCTTGCGTCCAGCTGGTTAGCAGGCTCCTTCAGACTTTGTGAGATGTCAGAGAAGGAGGCTTCAGGTCTGGTGTCTAAACGGTGTTCAAAAATGCAAGGACAGTGAACCAAGCCCGAGGTGCCCCCCACAACTGCATGGTAGCCACATGCAGATCTGCACACGTTTCACTGGGAACTCTGCTCCCGAGGCTTTTCTTATCTATTTAAATTAGCAGGGACTCAGACCCCTAACTTGAGGAAAAATGGGATTGCGTGCACCTGAAGGACTGACTCAGTTTTAAAAAAATGCAGACTTTCTGTTCTCCACGTATTCACCGATGGCTAATAATAAGCAGTAGCGGAGTGATCATTTGATACCTGCTACATGTGGGGAACGTTGATGGAAGTTTTGTGTGGTCAGTGACAGTTTTGTTTGATTAATGGCATTAAAATCAGAAGGTTGTTTCCAATGCCCAAATTCATCTTTATAGGGAGAAAACGGCATTTCCCCTGTTCTCCCCTCTTAGGTGGGCCCCAGGCCTGACATCCATGCACCAGGAATGTCTTAGCCTAGTTCTGCTGAGCTTTTTCAGTGGCCTCGGGAATCCTGGTCCTTGCTCTTTTCAAGACATAATTTTGAGCACTGCGGCTTTGTCTGAGAAAAAGTCGATAGTCCCCCTGTCAACTCATATAATCGGGGGAATCACAAATTTAAAGTACTAGCTAACCACAAGACTAACCTCACAAGTTGTATTTATGAGCCTTTGATTTTCATTCACCAGAGGAAACGGTCTCGGCCATTAACCTAGATGCAATTTCCCCCCCTCCTATTATAAGTTGCTCTTTCTGAGAGAGAAATGGGGAGGAAATAATGTCTCCCTTGAGTGCCGTTTTTAAGGCATCTCTTTGTCATGATGGGTTACAGGCCGCGGTGAGAATGTAAGGAGAAAACGCACCAGCATGGTTCTCTGGTGGAGCAGTAACACGAGTAGAAAACACGGTTCAAAGGGAGCAGCGACTACAGTCCCATTCAGCGAAGCAGCTTGCCGTTGTCTCAAGCTGTATGTTCCAGAATGTCCCTCCGGTTGTTCATGTATTACAAAGGAAGTGTTGTTACACACGTACACATGGAGATAGACAGGCTCACACTCTCAAAAGGATGAGAGAGAAATAAAGCGAGATGACCCAGACCCTGGCCCCACGTCCCAGAGCACAGCGAACATGGGCAGAGTAAGGCATCTCCCTGCAGAAAGCCGTGTCGCAAAGAATCAAATCCCAAGCTTTAACAGGCCTCCTGTATTTTCTTCCTTGCTTTGAGAAGCGTGCTGGCTTCTGTTGCCTGTTTTGGCATGAATCTACTTTACATTTTACTCAGTTGACTGTTATCTTCACACAGGTGATGATTCTCTTATTCAGCTTTGGATCCTTGTCCCCAGCATAATTTTTGGCATGTAGTTTGTGCACAATAAAAGCTTGTTAAATCACACAAAGCCTAAGGGGAAATGAGGATAGAGTCAAAAAGAGCAGATGAGGAAGGAATTTATCTTGGGGTTTGGGAAAGATGAAAACAAAGAGCCAGAGAGTGATCGGAGGGAACATAATTTGACTTCAGTAAAGAATATATAACTCTATAGAGTTGCCAAGGACGTCAGAGAATCATGGAATACACTGACCATCTTGAAGAAGAGATTTGGAGAACTATGCAAAAGTCACTTTGAAATGCATCCCTGGAAACAGTGTTTAAAGGGTTGGTCATGTTGGGAGACCAAAGTCAGGGGCAGGAGCAGTGGGCTAGGACCCCAATCACTGGACACAAACAATAGCGATCAACTTGGCTGGCTTGGCCGAAAGGAAACCTATTGGAAAACCGGTAGGTAACCCATAGAAACACCAGGAATGTTAAGCATTCAGAGGTTGGAAAATGAACAGGAGTTAAAGGAGGCCAGGCAGCCAAGAGTACAGCCAAAGTCACCATGGGAATGGTCTGGTGGTGTCACCACCACTCGACATTCCTCTGAGCTTCCAGAGCTACACCCTTTGACCATCCAGCTTTGCATCACTGTCCAAGATGGTGAGCCCCAAGGAAGGGTATCTGGCTGACTGAGGGCAGGCCACAGATTGGTACTCTGGGTGCCAGGAAGCAGGGAGAGGGAATTTCTACCCCTCTGGCTTCCTGCATCTTTGAGAGCACCCCAGAGATGGCCTCATGTTGGAGAGCCAATATCTAAATATCTAGGACACCAAGTATCCAGGATTAGAGCTTCCATGGACTCCTGCTGCATGGGTCAGTGAAGGGGCTCCTTTCATCTCTCCCCTCTATGTCCACTGAACATGGTGAAATCTTGAAAACTTGAAATTCTTTACCTTCAACTACTCAACCAAAATCTGTTGAACCCCGACTCAGGATCAGGCATTATGCTAAGCGTTGATAAGACAGTGGCCTGGACCAGCGCCGTCTCTGCTTTCACGGAGCTGATGTCCCAGTTAAGGAGATTCTCACCCCGCTCCCCACCCCCATTGCCTTAGAAGAAGGGAAACCTAATTAAACTATACACATTCATTAAGCGACTTTCATAGACAACATTTTATCTCATTTCACAAGAATCTCGCTTTTTTCCTGATGCGAAAACCTGGAACTAAGAGAGTTTAAGTAATTGACCCACAGCCCGTTCCTGGCCGAGTCGGGTTCAAACTCAGTTCTGTCTGGCGGGCTTTTCTGGCACAGAGCTTACGGGCTCTGGTGAACTGGGGAATTTCGTCGTGCTGCTCAAGCCACAGATCAAAACGCACCTTGTTCTTTTACAGTTCACACTGGAAACCGAGATGAAACCTTTTCTGTCTGCTGTAGAAGCTTGTGTGTGACAGTGTGAGTCACCCTCAGAGTGACATTTAGCATTAGTGAAATATTTTTTTGCAGCTAATGTGGGTAGGTTCTTAGGGACCGTGACGCAAAGAAAATGGATTTTTATTGCGAAAGAGAATTACTAAATGCCAAAAGGAAGTGGATGACCCAGTAATTTGTATTACCCCAAAATATAACTAATGGCAATGTAAAATTATAATTTGCAACATGTTTATGGCCAGCATAATAAAGACTAAGCCGGTTTCAATTTTCAGCAGGAGAGAAAATAAATTGCTCGTGCCAGATGTCCCACAACCAGGCAAAATAACATGGAAATTTAATTTTTACTTGCTTAACTATAATATTTATGACTCCGAGAGTACAGATTTGGGTTCATAAAACAGTAAAGGTTGGAGCCATCTGCTTGATTACAGAACAGAGCAGAATGCAGAGGGTGACTTTTTTTTTTTTTAAAGATTTTTAATTTATTTATTTGACAGAGAGAAAGAGACAGCGAGAGAGGGAACACAAGCAGAGGGAGAGGGAGAGGGAGAAGCAGGCTTCCCGCTGAGCCGGGAGCTGGATGCGGGGCTCGATCCCAGGACCCCGGTATCATGACCTGAGCCAAAGGCAGAGGCTTAACGACTGAGACACCCAGGAGCCCCTGCAGAGGGTGATTCTTGATGCAGGAAGAATTTCTTAAGTGTGAAGAAGAATCTATAGGCAGAATAGGATGATTTATTCTAACTCATCCACTGAATGCCTTTACGTGATAGCCTTTTGTGCTAGGTCTGGAAGACCTGATGATAAAACATATACAGATCAACATCTTCTCCAATCTTTGTGCAGATTCTCCCCACATGGAACATCCTGCCTCCCTTACCCCTCCCTGCAGACCTGCCCTCCTCCCACCCTGCCTTTGTCTAGTTCACCCCAAGCCTTGCTTCTGATCTTAGCTTGACTGACCCTTCCTCAGGGAAGTCATATTGGACCTCCTAGACTAGGTCAATTCCCCTTCTCACACATCCTCATAACACCACACAGCTCTCTCTGTGCCAATGTCACTACTGTTATATATTATATATGTGTGTTATTATTGGATTGACATGGCTCCCATGAGCCACTGAGCCCCTGGAGATCAGGGACTCTGCCTGATAATATTCATCACTGCGTCCCCAGCTCATAGCACAGTGTAGATGAGGGCACAGAGTACGTACCTAATAAATATTTGTGAAGTAAATACAACTCTACATGGACTATGCAGAAAGAATGCCTGCTGCTGTCTTACAAAGACCCTTCAAAACCGTTCCCCCCCCTAAATTATAACTTTTAAACTCTTCATCAGCTTCATTCCTTGGAGTGCTAAGGATAGCCGCAGTGTGAATGAGCTGGGAGCTGAGACAACGGCTCAGAATACTGGCAGCTGTCTGTTCTCTTTAGCTGTTAATTCTAGGTAATTTTGCAGTCATGTACTTTCCCACCCTCATCTGATTTTCACAC